ATTTTAATACAAATTCAGATAAATTATTATTGCAAGTTTACGTTTATCAAAATAAAGAAATAAAAATTTTACTCTTTGCAAAGGTACAATTAATAAAGAATTATTTAATATAGTTTTAAAATTATATAAATATGAAATATATTTTTATTCATATTCATATTCATTACTCTTTAGATTGTTGCGTAAAATACAGAGATCCGAAAGGTTTTCTCTTATCTTTAATAATTTTATATCGCGAGTATAGTTTAATACACAAGTTATCTTTTTATTAATCGAAAATATAATTTACTATCTATCAAAATTATAGGTGCATATAACATAAATCAAAGTAATAATAATAATAATAATAATAATAATAATAATAATAAATCTTTGTCAACTTCCTATGCGCTTAAACTACAAAAAAAAACTAATGTCCTGATTTTTAAATTAAATGGATGAAACACACGTATCTGCGATTTGGCATGCACTCATACTCACACATACGAATATACATCTTATCTACATACACATTTCTTTTGTATTAATATACGTACACATTACACGTCATTTAATATAATTTTTATTTAATGAAAAGAGAAAATAGTCTTAAAGTAAAAGAGGCATTATTAATAATAAAAATTAAGATACATGTGCCGACAAATCTTATGCTATAGAAGATGCAGCAGTCATTAAGGCCATTCTCTCTTGAATGATTTTTATGTCAATTCCATTTTCAGTCTACGGTACACTGAATAAGAATTAAAATTAACAATTTTTTATATGAAAATTATTCAATATTTATAATAAAAAAATAGATCAAGCATTTAATATTGATATTTTTAAATTTCACTAGAATTTACATCGTCAAACGTCAATATCCGCACATTAAACAACATTTTCGTTATTAATTTATCATCTTCAACATTTATCTTTTTTGCTGATTTAAAACAAGAGATTATCATTATTAAAATAGCAAGTAAAACAGTAAAACAGCTAGCAAAATAGCAACTAAAAACCTAGTTTGCGTTTTAAAATATATCCCTATAGATATGTTAGATATCAATTTTCTTAAATAAAATTTAAATTTTCCACTCTTCGATGAAATTTACCAATAAATTTTCCATTCTTCTATGAAATTTACCAATAAATGCGATCATATGAATATTGAAATTTTTTTGTCATAGTGTATGCCCAATACAGTAAACGCTATTGCGTCAAATCAGTACACATAAAACAAAAATTCAGAAATGCAAGAAAATTTTTTTTACACTTATTACTTTCGAAAAAAATTAAATTTCAATGTTTATGTCATTTGATAATAAAAACATTCCATAGTCTTTAAATTGAGGATTGCTTGCGTTATATAATTTCGCTGAATTCAAAGTCATTATCAATGTCGTTCAACAGGCGAAAGGTAATAATTTGCATAGAGAGACGGCTGGTGTGAAATTTTTCTTTCGCGCGTCAATGGCACAGGAAATTATATCGCAATATGTTTTTCAATCCTCGTTTCAAATTTTCTTGACAATTCATCATCAATTTACGATCGAATCGCGATTTCAGAGCTTAAATGATTTGTAGAATCGCTCGAGGCTCAGATTTCGCCCGACGGTTTCGAGCATCGAAAATAAACTTAAGACAATCTGTCTGCGCATTTTAACGAGCGAGTCGGTCGCTTTCCCTCGCCCGTGATTTTCGGCAATTATTTGCCTTGCAATTATTTGCCAAAGATTGCGGCTTTCTGTCGGAATTGCTCTCGCCTCGCCGCCTTTTCTTCCTCCTCCCGTTTTCGCTCCTCTTGCTCCATACGAATCTCGTCTTCGAACTTCGACGATTTTCGCAGTTGCTCGATCTGCACAAAAGACAAAGGAAAAATAAAACGTTAATTGAAATACGATTCGTTCGGGTTACGCTTTCGCGCATGTATTTTTTTTCTCGCATCTCGATACGCTGAGGTAGCTTTCTGGGCCTGATCCACGTGTCATTTACGATCGTGTGCGTAAATAGGAAACGCATGTTGCGATAACGGACTAGACAAGATTCAGTAGGAAACTGGTTTTTTTTTTGCTGATACTGACTAGGACATCAGTAGTTAATTTTATAGTAAAGAAGAATACATAATAATTTATCTATTGTGGTTTAATTTATATTTTTCATTATTTTTAATTCTAACATTCTTACTTATTCTTATATGAGTAAATCAAAGATGATTTCGTTTTATTGAATATATAATTATGTGTAAGTAATTTTCTCTATGTTACACGATAATTCGTCGGAGTAGAAATAAACATATATATCAATGCAAATATATAGATAGATTTAATCTTAATTTTTTTATTTAATTAAATATTTTATTTAACTGAAAATAATGATGCCAGAAAATAAATTTGTGCACGTCTTGTGTAACGTTTAGTCTATTTAAATCTTGTAAAAAAATTTTTTAAATAATTCTCAGATTTTCCTGCTACTTTTATTTAAAATTTCAGATAAAATTAGAGAATTTTTAGACGCAACTTTGAAATAAATCCAATTTATTGTATGCGCTTTAACATTTTTTAATTACAAAGAATTTCTATTCTTCGTATATTTCTATACAAATATTTCAATTTTCTATTCTGACATTCTATTTATATAAGCTTTTCTATATAGAATAGAATTTATTTACTCTTCAACCATAGCCAAGAAAGGGACTTGGTTTACAATATAATTCCTTATCCTCATTCATCCATCCCTTATTCTCCAACTTATTCTAATCTCACTATAAGTTCTTTTACATCGTTTCTCACTGGTTTTCATAAATACAACGCTATACAAATACTCTACAATACAATACAATTCTGCCTGCTTCTCCGTTTTACACCTTAATATAGGCTTTTCTACATAAAAAGTTATATATAAATGTGCGTAATGTATATGGATGTGTATTGTTAACTTGAATGACTGGAAAATTATTAATTTTTATGAAAACTAAGGTATCGAAATTTTTTCTGAAGAAAACTTTTTTAAAAATCTAAAAATCTAAAATTTAAAGACGAAATTTCAAAATTTCTTTAAATTAGAATAAAATTCCAGAGATTGTATAAAATCCTGATTTTTAAGAATAAAAAGAAATTCCCTGAAAATTCCAAGTTTTTCAGGTTTTTCCGAAGAGATATTCAGAAAGATGCAATATACAATTATATATGATATAAAAATATAAAGACATAATTTAATATAAAAACATAATGACATAAATTTGATGATATAAAAACATAAAGACATAATTTTAAAAAAGCAATACAAGAAATCGATTTTTATTTTTGAGAAAATTAAATCTCGAAGTTTAAAATCTATTAAGAAGAAATTCATTCAAGCGTTTAATTTAGTAAACCGTGAAAAAAGTGTAAAAATTTCTTTTCACGAAAGATTGAACGTGAAAATATACCTTGGCTTCGAAGAAGTTTTTAGCGCCTGTAACACCGACTTCGTCGACGTCAACCTCGGTTAATCTAGCAAGCTGACTCAATCCGGAATCTTGTTCTAATTCACCGGCTCGTGCCTTACGATAAATCAGCAGAAACTGTAATAAAATATAATCGTAATTACATTGAATATAAACCAAAGTCACAATAAATAACAAACTTCAAAAAAACGACGGATCAACTTTCGAACGTTCTGTTTCTTAATTTTCGAACTCTCTGTTTCGAAAGTAAAAGTATCATAGAAAACGAATCAATTCCATTTTACTATCTTTAAATTAATATCTATACAAATGTATCGTATTTAATAAAGAAAATAATCTTTTGCATAAAATAAACAATTTATTTGACAATTATTAAAACATTAAATAAAAGAAATCATTTTTCTTTAGTTATCGTTTTATTCTATTCCATTTCGATATCATAAGAGATCATAATATTCCATTTTAATTAAGGAAACTTCTTATTGGTATTTCAAGTAAAGAAAGAAAGAAAAAAAAAAAGAAAAAGAAAAACACAAAGGACAGGAAGGCGATTCGTTTAAAAGGGATACCACGCGATCGATGAGAGAGTTTCAGAATTGCAACGTTTATGAATGTAAGGCGTGACGAGGGCAAGGGATATATACGTGTCGCGAACGTTTTACGGTAATTCACTCATCGTGATGAGTAAGAGGAAGGTGAGTAAGCCGGGCAATAAACTGCTCGGGTATCACGCAATGAATCACGATGATGGCGATCGACGAGCGGTGCTGCAAAGTCGATCGTGCGTGCACGCATCGCGTATGCGGGATCGATTCGTGCGAAACAGCGCGCTTTGTTCGCGAAATAACGGAATGTCACGTCCGACTTGGCATCTACGCGTGCACGTCACGTATCAATCTCGAATTCTCCTTCAAATCGCACGTGACGCCGCGTACACCGCGATATCTTGCTCGCGGCCCTATTCGCGGTTGCGTTATAACAGCGAAAGTGTGTTTCTGTTGGCGGGACTCGCATCTGCCCCGGTATTCCGCGGGCGTATTATAAAATTCCCTCTTCGTCGGTTTCTCCACCGATCGATATTATTCCGCGTGCAGTCGCCATTATCACGGCGACGATCGAGGGGGCTTAATCCTCTCTCGATATTTTCCTCGATATTTCGTTTACCATTGAATATTTATAGAGGAAACTGATGGAAATTGATTTTGCGTTTCACACACTTTGTATACACGTTATATACACGTTTTCCGTACGGGGCTATTTTAATTAGACGGAATATTATTAGATTAAAAGAGATTAGAGAGTTTGAAATAAAAAAAGTTAATCGCTAGATCTTTCCAATTTCACTCATTCTGAATTATCACTTATACCTTTTATAAAAGTAAAGACTTAATTTTTTTAAATATTATATTTTTAATTTATTTTTAGAAAATATGTTTAGTTTTGCATATTTTTTTTTTTTATAGGTAAGAATCTTTCGGTGATTTTTAAAACGCTTCAACGTGCAAGTGAACCGAAATAGAAACTACTTCAATGTATCCTTTCTAACCATGGCGTAGCCATGCTTGGAGAGTAAACACGATCGTCGAACACTCGACGAGTGAGACGTATGTTAAACATTGCATGGGGTCCTCTATTTTTACGAGAAATGTATCGCACGTGCGTTGCTACGTATGGAGATAATCTGATTGAAAATTATATCATTTATTCTACAAAAAAGAAAAGAAGAACAAAAACAAGAGAAAAGATTGTTTGTAGATTAGTTTCCATTATTTATTAAAATGTAAAAAATTTCACATGATAAAAGTAACTTCCAAGAAATAAAATGAAGCTTTTGCAAATGGAGATGAGTAAATGTTAAAATAAAGAGGGTTTATACAGCTTATTGCGACGTTTCTCGAAATCATGCAAGAGCATGTGTTTCTCGATCCCGCATAAGAGCAAAGCTGCACGCAGTGAAATCTATTTCGGTGCCATATTTTTAACGACCGCAAGCAGAGTTGCGAGAAACACTAATGGTGGTCAGGGTGGTCGTAGAGACCAGCGGTTATGTTTATACCGATCATATTCGAAGCCGATAGTGCGAAGTATGTTGACCGATATTCGACCGAGTTTCAAACCTGTTTATCTGTAAAATTACCTTGTAAAATTTATTCCTTTTATCCGTAATCCAGTCTCAATGAAATAAATGCATTTAAAGAATCTCCTAAATAATAACAATTTTAATAACAGATAAAAAGAATGAATATCTACATTTTTTTCTTTCGCGAAGAATTCATTTCAGATTAATGATTAATGAGCACCCATAAATCCTTATCATCAGTTCATTTAAATTATTAAAATATAATTTTTGCGAATTGATATAAAATGCTTATTTTTTTTGTGCTCTTCTCAATAAAATAAAATAAAATAGAAACAACATAAAAATAAATAATTAAACTTTACATACTAATTTTTTTATTATATTTTATAGCGTTCCTTTTGCTTTTCTCAAAGCACAAGTGATTCGTGACACGTTATATTTAATAGATCACTTATATTGCTCATTAATTTAAAATATTATGAATTTCTCAGAGCTGGTAAAAATAAACCAACCTCGCGGAAAGATATGCGGCCGTCGCCATCCTCGTCAACTTCCTGGATCATCGCTTTGAGACCAAGATGCGTCTGCGGTGCACCCAAAACTTCCATCATTCTCTTCAACTCAGAGAGGTCAAGATAGCCGTCGCGGCCATCATCAAATCTGCAATAAAAATTGACGATTTCGATCAATAATTAAAAAATTTTATTCTATTCTTTTTCATCTCAACCACCAAAATATCATTTCAAAAATATCACTTCCCATATTCTTAAAGAAAATTAATAAGATTGAATGAAGCTGGCAAAACAAAAGCATTCTAAAGCTAAAACTAAAAATGTGATAAAGGATAAGGATTAAAAATTTTTATTCCTCGCTCAACGTCAAGCTAAGCTCAATTTAAATTTATTTTACATTAAAATTGTTTTTTGACTCCAAACTATTCATAATTGGTAATTCGATATTTAAAAATTATTTAAGCATAAAACAAAGTACGATAAGTTACTTGCATTAATACGGTAAATCTGTGTAATCTGTTCTGCTGACTAGCGAATATTTCGCTACCGACCTCCTTTCGCTGCGTGAAGTGGCATTTTTAATGCCGATTGCCCCGCCAATAAATCATCGTGATGACGCTAGTCAATGAGACGCCAAGCTAAACGTGTCGTACGTGTCGTACGGTCCGTCACCTCTAGTTAATCAGTTAATCACGATACCGCGCGCAATTTAATCACCGGTCATTGAATGCGGTGGTGACAAATGCGGAAGGAACAAAGGAGAAATATTTGGGACAATGTCATTACTGACCAACGAGACTTGACTATTAAATGAACTCGCTGGAAAAGTTGATGGAGAGCTCGCTTAAATAACATCGTTAGACGTTGTAACGTAGACTTCCTTTTTTCAACTCGGGAAAACCGTTACCGGCGAAATAGAAAATGACAGAAGTTTCAACGCGGCTCGTTGCACCTTCGTGACTCGATAACTTCGCGAAATAAATAATGAAGATGTGATATGAAGTAAAATTGACGTGAGTGTAACACATATACATATACTACTAATCGTAATCTCATTGACATCGAGCTATTAAAATGTATTTTCAATAACGGTGTAAATCAAATCATTTATCTAATACGGAGAAAGTGACGTAATTAAATGGTTAGAAGGAAAGTTTAATGAAGTAGGGTTACTTGATCTTCAGACGTGTTGACACCGCAAGAGTATCAGATGTATTCGTTCACGACTGACGCGTGCAATTTTAAATTATTTCACGCGTATATATAATTTAAAAACTGATGTTCTTCTCCTTTCAGAGTGCAAAGATAATTAAAAATAGAAATCAATTTAATTTAAGTGATGATTTTAATTGGGGAAATCGACTCGGTTTTCTTCGACAGTCGAGCGACAGTTATACTCTTCGTAACACTGAAGTCGTAACACAGAGATTGTCTTAAACTCGGCCGTCATTAACATTCGCGACTTTCTTCGCATTTATTACGAGGCCGACGTCTTGTTGGCCGCAATGTAAAAGGCAGAACATTTAATAACTAGAACGTCTCTTGTAGAAAGCGGACAAAACAGGTTGACCAAGATTCTTATCTATTGAAAAATTTGCATTTTCCACAATGTTGTGCAATTTTAGTCTTTGCGGACTTAACTTTGCCGATTCGACTCGCCACTTCTTTCTCCGGCACTTTTTGCGTGACTGTAAAGGTCGCGCGAATAAAATCCGTGGGAAAAAAAAAAAAAAAATTCGGTTCGGAATAATCGTGCGAAATTTTATTACGCGTTTGTGTATCGTGTGTACGCCATCGTAAAGGCAAAATGTGAAAAACAATTTATCCCGATGATACGCGATGACGCCTTCCCCGATGGCGCAATCGTTGGAGTAACTGTTTGACATTATTCTTTTGGTTCTTTTGTCGCGCAAAGTGTTGAAAAAAAAAAAAAATGTGGGCGTATCAGCTAAAGGTTAAATGGATCACATCCGAACGATTGTTGTTAGAAACAACGAGCCGCGTGATTTCATGTACAATCCGCGGAAAAATGTTTTGTAAATACATACGTGAAGCGTTCAGTTGAGTGCGTCATGAGATAAATCAATATCTGACTGAAATTATCAAATTAATAAACATGATGTACGCTTATATTATTATTAATTAATTGCAAAATTAGTTCTACGTGAGTTCTACACGAGCACGAAAGTAGGTAATACAAAAATGTATATTCTATTCTATTTATTCCTTACTAATTATTTGCTGACGTAATAAATGTAAAACATAATTTTTAAGACAGACAAGAAGATAAGGAAAAATCTCTTTCCTTCTTATTAAAATGCAAATTTTATGAAATGTATAAAGAAAATAATTGGGCTATATAAAATATCTCGACGAGAGAATGATAATGCTGAGCGTAGACAAAAGAAAATGCGAGGATCTCGGTCGATCATCTTCCTGTCTATCAATCTGTATGTTTTAATTATTGGGAACGTTTACACGCGTCGAGAGTGAAAACGATCGGGGGAAAACGTGAGAACGATTGTCGATATTCAAATTCACGAGTCACCCGGCAGAACGTCAATCTTATTTGCTGGCACTCACGACCGGAAATTCGTGAAATCTCGACTTTCCGCGAAAGGGATGGAGAATGCCATCGTCCACGAGTTTGCTCTCGACACTTTTCGACGCTTTTGGCACGTTCGTTTTTCTAAGCGTGCAAAATCAAACCGCGGTTTATTACCGCATATAACCCGTATAACCAAAGCTATCGTATGCTCAAAGAAACTTTGTTAAGTCAGAAATAAAAAAATATAAATATAAATAAAATAGTAGAATTATCTTTGATAAAAATCTTGATCTTCGATTAACTTTTATTTAATCTTAAAATAAATATAAATGATAATAAAGTTTGCTATAAGGCTGCTTGATAATAAAACACGAAAATAATAAGCTTTCAATCTTTTAAAAAATGATCTATATATATGTACATATGTGTGTGTGTGTGTGTAGTGTGTGTGTGTGTGTGTGTGTGTGTGTGTGTGTGTAAAGTGAAAAATAGTGTAAAACACTGAACTGTGATTGGTATCGTACATCGCAATGCTGTAAATCGATAGAGAGTAATCATGTCGTATTACATAACCGGTCTGTATGTGTTACGTGAGACGTGTAACTATCGTGAGTTTAAAGACCACTCGCAGAGTAAACCGGTCTTTTTAACAACTGTCGCGATTAACAACTTTCAACAATAATTGGACTTTTTACGGAAAAAGGAGCAACGTTCTAAGCTTTCAATAGTCCAGCACGTAGAATGTAATTTGCAAAAATTAACGGTTGTGATATTTTGTCATATCGTTATAACACCCAATTACTTTATCCATCGAAACATCCGCATACTTCGCATAACCCTAATTAAGCGAGACGTTGAAAAATCATTCCGCCACTTCGCCGGCATTTTCGAAGTTCGTTAGACGAACGGGATGTTAAAGGAAATTGCTTCCGCATTAGGTTAACGACATTATTGCGAAGCACCGGAAATTGAAGCGATGTAGGCGGGAAGGTACCTGAACGGTAAATCCTTTCAATCAGGAGGACTCGTAATTATCCTGCTGGAAAGGTCAATATTGTCAGGATCTTTCAGCAGTTTCAGCAATTAAATCGAACAAAAATCTTTCACGTTCATTAGCTTTATGAAACACATATACATTTCATGCGGGTGCATGTTATTGCAAACATTATAGTCGTTATAGCGTATAATAGTTAATTTTAGCGTATAATCACAAAAAAAATATATTGAAGTAAATCGTTGAAACATTTCTAATCTCGTTATCATTAGAAAGAATACAGTCATTTGGTGCAGAATAAATAAAAATCACGCGTAATTTTTGTACATGTACAATTTGATTACTTCTTATTTCTTTACATTCATGATATCAACAAGCAATTTTTATGATTGTCTCCTTTTTTTCTTTCTTCCCCTTTCTTCATATTAAAGTTGGAAAAATTTCATGGAACGAGAAGATTGCGAAGGTCGAGATTACGTTTTTATATAAGCACGGTTAGCGAGGTCATCAATCAATAAAAATAGTAGAAAGATAAAAGCGATAGATACGTGAAAGAAATGTGTCCTATTAAAATCAGCACTCCATCCAATAACGGTCTCATCCTTCTTAATATAAATGCTTCTCTGACCTAAATATATTAATATCTGCTGATTGATACCAATACAGAGTGTTAAATAATGATAGATATCCTGTAACTTTATTTTTAAAATAGATTTACAAGTGCCATTTCATAATTGCGCTTTAGAGGATATTGAAAATAACACGCTATTATTTTCAACTATGAATACCGTCATTATATTGTTTTATAAATGATGCCCAGTTGTTGCCAGATTGTCGCATTCGATTTCGAGATCACACGTCGAACAGTTTTAATCAACCAAGCGAAACGCTCTCTAATCAACATGAATTGTGCCGAGGCGCTCGTGTAAATGCCACGCGATCATTATCACGTTAAATGTGTCACGGACTTGAATTGACTTTGCGAAAGCTTAATTAAAAATTGTACGTATCGAATAAATGAAAAAAAAAAAAAAAAAAAAAATTTACAACAAATATTTATCTTTCAGAATCGGCTTTACGAAGTCAAACATAGTTTCATATAGTAGTTTAGTTTAACACGGTTCAACATAGTTTACATAGCACAACTTTTCCTCGCGTTATCAGTAGTGTGCTGCTATCCCAAAGAGGAAAGAGTTGCCTTTTAAAATAATTTAATCACTATGCCGCGAAGAGAGGAGGAATGCTTTATTCATGAATTTTCATGAATGCGCAATTTCGCGATTCAAGGAATTTATGTGTATCGCCTGGAAAGCGGTCTGTAACTTCAGGCGCCTTTCCGCCTTTGCCTTTCTTTTATTAAAGCCGCCACCAACGTAGCGAGGGATATCGCGCAATTATCGCGACGTAACGACACCGTTGCGCTTCTGATCTCGTTATCGCGCTATCGCGATATCGCGATCGTTCCGCCTCGAATCAGGTCGGTGGTGAGCGTTTCGTTCTCCGCGTTTCGTTTTCCGAGAGGTAGCTCGGAGGAAACCGGGTCAAGGTGACACGCGATGTTGCTCGCCTGGTCCCGTTTATCCTCGTTCCCCAAGATCGATACGGA